TTTGCAACATACAAACAAAAAATTTAAATAATAAAAAATATAAAAAAAAACTCGATGCGATGTAACGACATGATACTTCATTGAATAACAATAATTATTTCTTTGCAATTAATTTAGTTCATTAGTACACGTACATAGATTTTATTTTCTTAATTCCCTACAGCGGCAACAAAAAAGAAAAGTTTCTCAATAAATTATTACTTATCCACAAAGGCATAAAAAAAAAAAAAAAAAAACAAAAAAACAAACAAAAAAAAAATAAAAAATAAAAAAAACATATCATACGCTCTCCTTACAATATTATTTATCTGGTGGTTGTTTATCAATAATAATTATTAACTAATCTTTTGCGCTCTTCCCCTTACCTGTTTTTTGTTTTGGTTTACCTCTGCTCCACTATTTGTATTCCTACTTTTTAATTTAATTACTTCTACATAACGCAAAAGAGAAGCTTTATTTAAAAATCATGCATGAATAAACTTGTTTGGTTCGCAACGGAATCTGTTTTGAGCGCTAGTTCATTTTAGTATTTTTGTCTATTTGTTTGGTATTAGGGCAGTTAATTATGAAAAAAACAACAACGACAATTAAGAGAAAAATGAATTAATTTTTAATTTTTATTTATGATTTAATCTCTTCACAGATAATGTGTTGCAATCTACGGCCAAAAACATACCTTAAATAATAACTATTTTAATGCATAGAATTTTTATTAAAATAAAGTAAAAAAGCAAAAACAAAAACTCCCTGCACTCCAACGCCGACAAATGTAATTTTTTTTAGTATTATGTTTAAAAAATTCTACAATTTGTTGCCACACACACACACACAAATACTCACACATATACACATAAAATTTAGAAGACTTTGAAACTTGATAAAAATTTACCAAAATTACTTGCAACTACAAAAAGAAAATTTAAATTTAATAACTTCAAAACAAATACAAATTAAACTGCTGCAGACTGAAAATTTCTTGTACTTTTTGGCGTTTGTGCACGGTGACAGAATTTTTTGTATGAAAATTGCAATCGGAATTTATTTACTTTGTATTGTGAGAACTAAAAAAAAAATTAACAAATTACATAATGAAATATAAGAAAAATAGCGATTGACCCTGACACTGAAATTGTTGCGCTTTTGTTGTTGTACCATAGACATATATGAATATAT